TTCTTAGTAATCACAAAGGAGACTGGATCTGCAATATGCTTCTTCGTCCCAGTTTGGCAATCTTAGCATTTTTTTCCATTTCTTGGCATTCCAATAATTTACAAGATTATTCCAATGCTCTGCCCTTATCCATCGTGGGCCATGTCCTCTCCAATCATCAGGATTATCAGACTGACTTGTACACTTTGCTTTCTCATGAGCGTCATTCATCATATCTTTATATCTATCCTTCGCCGCGACCTTCCATGTCTCATACACATTGATAGTATTCACAGTCGGCCATACATATTTATCCTTATAAATTAAAAATCAATTTATAGACCTAATGAATATAAGAAATTTACAAATATAATAAATATAATTACCATAAATCGATCACATAAACCATCGCTTATGGGTTGTGGCATCGAGCAAAATGTGGGGGTATGGAAAATCAAAATACGCTTTCATGGTTGTGGTGATGTCACGTGGTACAGAAGTTTCACCAAAACTGCATAAAAAATATAAAAAATGTGATTAGGAAAAATTCGATAAGTTACACAACCATATAAGAAACACCACATCTTTAAACGCAAATCTAATTAATGGTATCATCTTTAACCACAAGTTGCTATACTTTAAATAAAAAAAAAATACAACTTATAAAAGGAAGAGGGCAATATAAAGCACATTGATTGGTCAAACAATCGAAATAAGATATGACATAAACATGAAAAATGAGTCTACATTTATATAAAATCTTCTAATTTTAGCAATTCTAATGAAAAACACTGCGAGTGTAGATATGGCAGCTTCCTCTCTTTGTTTTTCTCAACATTAATCCTTGTGATTTGAGGTCGAAACATCTCAACATGTGTGTATATATTGGCTGTTAAAACAAACAAACAATAAATATATCATTTTTCTTTCACCATCACATAATAATTAGTTTCACTTGTTTAACATTTAGGAAAGTTCTCCTCCAACAAATAGACATTTCCACTATGTCTACACAAACGCCAATGCACAATATCAAACATAATAAATATTACTAAACACCACCAAGTATGTTTCAAAATATACAAAATAAATTGAAAATAAATGTATACTTACGTGTTATTTTTAATAGTTATTTCGATATGTTGTGATCGATTAGCCGGCATATGAGTGCCACGATTAAGACCCCTGGTCTTGTTACTAGCTCTAGGCAAATCATCTGCATGCTCACCTCCGAACACATCATTGAGAGTATTAGGATCCTGACGTTCATTATTACTCCGTATAGACCTTCTACACAACAACGTGTTGATTTATGTTGCCTTTCTCAACTTGATGTATTTTCTCCTCTGGTCAACGACATCCTGCACGCCAAGTAAATTGATTTAAAATTATCGAAGTTTGTGCTTGCATTTGCATGTGAACAATGTTTTAGTTTTGTATATCCAAATAACAATGTTCTGGTTATAAACAATGATTGTAGTCAACTACAAGTGTGAAGATAAGTAATTTGTAGCTGAGGAAATCTCATCCATGGTTTTAATTAAGCTGAAAGAGATTGTATGGGCAAGAATGCTTCCCATCGTCATTCCTTGTTAGTTAAAAATATTTCCATCAGTAAGTCCAGATTCTTCTTTATATCTTACTAAGGGACATCAAGTATATTTGAAAGATGGCTAATTAAATATACCTGTCACCCATGGGCAAGCTTGGGCAAGTTCATCATCTATGTACTCATCTTTGATCTCATGATTGGAAATATTAGCCTCGTGATTACCATATCCATCACGTGTAGATCCCTATTACCATGTTGTATAGATCTGTGCTGACTTGCTTGACCCGCATATCCTCCATTAGTTGGTGACATAGTGCTTGCGAAACCAATTCAAAACAACAATAGTTAAATTTGTAGCTAAGCGGTTAAGTTCTTTTAATGGTTATTGTCAGCTCTTTTTGTCTTTTAGGAATATGTAGATGAATCTTATATCTGAAAATAATTTTGAACATATATGGTGCAGTCCATTTCGCAATGCATAATAAATGTATATTTAAAATTACACGTGACTCCAAACCCAATTATTAGATCTAGATAGCATGTCTTCTTGATACAATGGTTCGTCTATAGCCTCATTTTCCATATCATTGGAAATATTAGCCTCACTG